AATGAAATTTGATTACCCTATATCGTGATACATCGCTATATCGCGATGCAAAACTGACGATGCATCACGATATATAATTTCTAATATCGCCCAATCCTAATGTTAACTCATAGGAGGAAATTCGTAGATTTAAATATTTCCTTATTACATACAGTATCATCTCGATACAGCAATCAACTGAAAATAATTACTATGATTACAGTTTAAAACACTATTATATATATACATGCATAGTAACATATAGGATCCCCTAATATTCTTATAATTATTTCCTCCGTTGGATGTACTATTACCCGGTAATAAAATACCCTGGACAAATATGAATATTGCAGTTCAATATTAAAGGGCCATGTTGTAAGACAGAATATTGACTTCGAATTTCCTCTTTTTAACGCTAATAAACACATTTCAATACATATTATTATACATTGCTGTTGTTCTTGTTGTAGTTAATTTACGTCGCACTAGAGCAATGGGCTATTGGCGACGGTCTGGGAAACATCTCTGAGGATGATCTGAAGTAAAGCCATCACAATGTTGAACCTCTGCAGAGGGGATGACACCCCCGCTTCGGAAGCCCAACTACCTACACGTGAAGTAGAGTACTTTACGGTAGAACAGTATAACCAGGACCAAAACCGCACACCCTCGGTCCCTACCTAGACAGATCCCAGTACTATTATATATAGACATACATACACAGTAACCTATGGGGACCCCTATCAGTCTTATAATTATTTCCTCAATTAGGATACTCCAGAACTAGGAAATATAATACTTGTTCCAATTTACATATTATAGGTCAATATTGAGGGGCGATATAGGACCATGTAGTAATAAAGAATATAGACTTCGAATTTCCTCATTTCAACGCTATTTAACACACTCTTATATTTCCGAGTTTGAAAATTATTCCTTGATATTAAAGGGAGCTAGGTGATCTCGAAATTTGAACCTCACTCGCGCCATTTTATTCCTTTATTCTGTTTTTTTTTATTATTGCATTGCGCTTTCTTTGCTGGACTTCACACACAGAAAACACCCCTTGCATGCAAGAACATCCAAAATGTTACAAAAGGAGTCGAAAAAGAGCAAATGAACAGATTTTTCTGGATTTTTCCAGTTTTTTCCCATTTTCCCAATAAAAAAAAATTATTTCTTACATGCAGGACCCTCCAGAATGTCGAAAAACACATTGAACAAAATTTTTATGTAAAATAAACAGAAGAAGAAAAAAAAAGAATTTTTTTTAAAAAGCGTACGTCACTGGGATTCGAACCCAGGACCCCGCCTTCCTGCTGCAAGCTTACTTGTCTGGTATACAACCACACAGTCCACGGTGATACGTGAAGCCTACCACAGTTTCCCTTCAAAACCTCTCTCCTTTCATCTTCGCTATATACATTTAGGGGCACACTGAGACCCCCTTAATTGGCCTATAAAAATTTTCCTCGGCAGCTTTGTCTGGACCATAGACCCCTACTTAGGGACCGAGTTTGAAAATTATACCATCATATTAAAGGGAGCTAGGGGTTCTCGAAATTCCAACCTTACTCGTGCAATTTTATTTTTTTATTATTTTTTTTTATTATTCCATTTCGATTTCTTTCCAGGATTTCACACACAGAAAACACCCCTTGCACGCTAGAATATCCAAAATGTTACAAAGCGAGCAAAAAAAAAAAGCAAATGAACAGATTTTCCTGGATTTTTCCAGTTTTTTCCAATTTTCCTAATAAAAAAAAATATTTCCTACATGCAGGACCCTATAGAATGTCGAAAAACACATTAAAAAATAATTTAATGTAAAATAAACAGAAGAAGAAGAAAAAAGAAATTTTTTTAAAAAAGCGTACGTCACTGGGATTCGAACCCGGGACCCCTCCCTCCTGCAGCAAACTTGCTTGTCTGGTAGCCAACCACCCAGTTCACAGTGACACGTGAAGCCTACCACAGTTTCCATTCAAAACCTCTCTCCTTTCATCTTCGCAATATGCATTTAGGGGCACACTGAGACCCCCTTAATTGGCCTATAAAAATTTTCTTCTTCAGCTTTGTCTGGACCATAGACCCCTACTTAGGGACCGAGTTTGAAAATTATACCTTCATATTAAAGGGAGCTAGGGGGTCTCGAAATTTGAAACTCACTCGCGCCATTTTATTTTTTTATTCTGTTTTTTTTTAATATTCCATTACGCTTTCTTTGCTGGATTTCACACACAGAAAACACCCCTTGCATGTTAGAATATCCAAAATGTTACAAAGCGAGTCAAAAAAGAGCAAATGAACAGATTTTTCTGGATTTTTCCAGTTTTTTCATATTTTCCCAATAAAAAAAAATTATTTCCTACAGGAAGGACCCTCCAGAATATAGAAAAACACATGAAAAAAATAATTTAATGTAAAATAAACACAAGAAGAAAAAAAAAGTAAATTTCTTGAAAAAGTGTACGTCTCTGGGAATCGAACCCAGGACCCCTCCCTCCTGCAGCAAACTTGCTTGTCTGGTATACAACCATCCAGTTCACGGTGACACGTGAAGCCTACCACAGCTTCCCTTTAAAAGCTCTCTCCTTTCATCTTCGCAATAAACATTTAGGGGCCGACTGAGTCCCCCCTAATTGGCCTATAATAATTTTCTTCAGCAGCTTTGTTTGGACCATAGACCCCTACTTAGTGTCCGAGTTTGAAAATTATACCTTCATATTAAAGGGAGCTAGGGGGTCTCGAAATTTGAACCTCACTCGCGCCATTTTATTTTTTTATTCTGTTTTTTTTTAATATTCCATTACGCTTTGTTTGCTGGATTTCACACACCGAAAACCCCCCTTGCACGCTAGAATATCCAAAATGTTACAAAGCGAGTCAAAAAAGAGCAAATGAACAGATTTTCCTGGATTTTTCCAGTTTTTTCCAATTTTCCTAATAAAAAAAATTATTTCCTTTCATGCAGGACCCTCCAGAATATCGAAAAACACATTAAAAAAATAATTTAATGTAAAATAAACAGAAGAAGAAAAAAAAAGAAATTTTTTTTAAAAAGCGTACGTCACCGGGATTCGAACCCATGACCCCTCCCGCCTGCAGCAAACTTGCTTGTCTGGTATACAACCACCCAGTCCACTGTGATACGTGAAGCCTACCACAGCTTACCTTTAAGAGCTCTCTCCTTTCATCTTCTCAATATACATTTAGGGACCCACTGAGACCCCCCTAATTGGCCTATAAAAATTTTCTTCGGCAGCTTTGTTTGGACCATAGACCCCTACTTAGTGTCCGAGTTTGAAAATTATACCTTCATATTAAAGGGAGCTAGGGGATCTCGAAATTCCAACCTTACTCGCGCCTTTTTATTTTTATTATTATTTTTTTTATTATTATTCCATTTCGTTTTCTTTGCAGGATTTCGCACACAGAAAACACCCCTTGCATGCTAGAATATTCAAAATGTTACAAAGCGAGTCAAAAAAGAGCAAATGAACAGATTTTTCAGGATTTTTCCAGTTTTTCCCATTTTCCCAGTAAAAAAAAATTATTTCCTTCATGCAAGCCCCTCCAGAATATCGAAAAACACTTTAAAAAAATAATTTAATGTAAAATAAACACAAAAAGAAAAAAAAAGGTAAAATTTTTGATAAAGTGTACGTCCCTGGGAATCGAACCCTGGACCCCTCCCTCCTGCAGCAAACTTGCTTGTCTGGTAGCCAACCACCCAGTTCACGGTGATACGTGAAGCCTACCACAGTTTCCCTTTAAGAGCTCTCTCCTTTCATCTTCGCTATATACATTTAGGGGCACACTGAGACCCCCTTAATTGGCCTATAAAAATTATATTCGGCAGCCATGTTTTGACCATAGAGGGTATTTTTTAAATGGTATTTAATGTATGGTCAAGTATGGTTTTAATGTATGGTTTTAATGTATGTTTTTTAATGGTAATGGTCAAGAGGGTATTTTTTAAAATAACATCCTATATTACTTTTTGTCCACTTTCAACTTTTGTGTCACAGAATTTAATTGTATCAAAGATTTCAATTATTGCCGTTTTGTGAGTGGGGGAGGGAGGGGTAATTCTTATGAATTGCTGCGAAAAATATCGAGAAGAATAAAAAGCTTGGTTGGCATGATTTGAAAATATTTAATTTAAAAAAATCGTTGATCACACGTTGAAAAATCACATAATTATTTATTTTTAAATCATAGATTTTTCTAAAAAATATGTATTAAAAAATATTTTCTAAAGCTTATTAAATATTATACTTAAGTTTTGTTAGTTCAATTGATATAAAATCTCATTGATAATAAATGTTTTATTCATAGCATCGAGAAATAATTTGTAATAAATTCAAAAACGAAATATTATGTCTTTTTTTTTTCGGAGCTTAAATGTGGATAAGAATGCAAATTAAATTATAATTTCTTAATTTTAATTTCATATCATTTTCATATTTTAATGTGCACATTGTAATAAGTAAAATAAGTTCTATTTTATTATCAATAAATATGATTCCTTTACACCCATTTAATTTTATGAACATTTATTTCAATACAAATAATTTTAAAATTTATTAAATATCTGCTCGACAATAAAGAATAAAGACTAGTTCTGCCAGGATTAATTTATTTTCGAAAATTTTTTCTGATCTAAATTAATTTAGTTTCCATTTGATAAGTTGGTTCTCTGTCTTTTCTATTCATTCATGTTTTTAGTTTGATAAAAGAAAAAAGAAAAAAATAACTGACTTAATTAACCATGATAAAAAAGTTTTATAGTTTCGCCCATGACCTCAACACGCCCAGGTTATCAACTTTCTAACTAGCTGTTGTCGATATTTTCTTCAACAAATATTTTAGAAAAATAATTTTGCTGTCAATTTTGATTGCATAAAATTATTTGCTGTTAAAGTACTGATTGCATAAAATAATATACCTTTTCAAAAAGAATCATTATAAGTCAATAAAAACAATGTAGATGGCGCCATGGAACAAAATATATTATTTTGTGTTTTTTTCCCATCATCCCTTTCGTTGTTTTGAATACAATACATTTTCTGTGATCTTGCAACTAAATAACTTATAAAGATTGAAAAGTAATGGCATTTGTATTAAACAAATGCATTTAAAAAAGTAATCCATACTTTTTTAATTGAAATTTCTGTCTCGTTTAATTTTTTTCATGCATTTAAATGATTTTTTTAAAATCTTTATATTATGGATGAGGAGATAGCAATTACTTCTGTACTAGCAGACGACAGAGTAAGTTTTCTTTTAATTTCCATCTTTTCATTGAACTAATAACAGTAATAAATTCCAATTTAGTATCCAATCATTTATTATCATTAAAATAATTGTTATATTATTCATCTGTTATGGGATGAGATTTGATTGAATCGGATAATTCGCGCTGTTTCGTTTGACAATGTATACAGCTTCCATCTAAAATATCTTCGTATTTTAGTTAATCATAGCTAATTTCATTTTTATAAACAATTGGTATCGTGTTTCATGCCAATTCATATATTTATCGAGTTATAAATGTTGTTTATTATGTTTATATTTGTCTATAACGCTAAGATAGCGGAAAATAATAGGCACACTATTTGAAAACATTTATTTATTTACTAGTGCCCTCAAAACTTTTCCAATACCATGGTCCAAGAGTCATTTGTTAAGAGGAATTGATATTAGTTTAGCTAGTTTAATCATTTTACAGAAATTTTTTTTTTTTACATTTCATGAGAATTTAAATTTTCTGATGATTTGTACAAAATTTGGGAATTGATTATCACCTTTAATAGAATATTTTTTTTAAAAAATTAGAATATATAAAAAAAAAAAAAAAATTTTATAATTTAAAAAAAAAAATTGCATTGAATTTTAATGTATTGATATAAAAATTAGTTTTGTATAAAAAGTCTTAAGAAATTCTAACATCTATAAAAATCAAGCTTTTTGTACTTAAAGGAAGAGACTCTCTATAGATTTTTTTAAATTTTATTTGATCCATAATATTCTTTGAAATTTTCTAACAATTTATTACCAGGGGTCTGTCCAGGCCAAAATTTACTACAGTTTAGCAGTACCTTCAACTTTAGGAAACACAAAATACTTAATATAATATAATACAAAATAAGTTTTATTTTTGTATCCCGTAAGAAATGATAGATCCACCTTTTTACCATATTTTAGTGTTGATTTTTTAATATAGGCTTCTAATTTTCACAAATTGTGTCTAAATTTTGTATCAATATTAGGTATCTCTCAGAATAGGTATTTCTCAGAAAAACCTAGACAGGCCCCTGATCAGGGGCGGATTAAGCGTATGTGGGGCCCTTAGATTAAATTTTTTTCTCATATATATTTTATTTATTATAAAAGTATTTATATATCTTTTCATTTAAGAAAGCATATTTCAAATTAAAATAAATAATAATAAATAAAATTTTACTTTATTTTATTAAATTAGAACTAAAACATAATCATAACATTCTGAAAAAATTTGAAAAATCATTGTTTTTCTTAATTTGTTTTTAAAAAATCCATTTTAAGGGGGCCTAGTGGGTAATCTGGCCCTCATTACATTTTCGAGAACTTTATTTTTTGCTTTTCTCAAAAAATCATTCAAAGTTGTATTCTGAAATTTAAGATGGTAAGAAAACACATTTGTGTTCATTTATTTTTATTCTTGTAATAGTTTATTCTATACGCAAAATGTTTTAATTCACTAATCAGTCAACTAAATTGTTATCCGTGTGGCAGAAGAGCTGTATGCAACGAATCTCTTTAGCACTAATTTCTTACTACAAGATTCTTTTGCTAGTAACAAATATATATTTTACTACTTTAAAATAACATAAATGCTGTGTTTACGAAAAAAATTTTAATTGAACATATGGTAATTTTTTATTCTAATGTTATGGGTGATATTCTTGCATTTTGTTAGGGAGGGGACTTACAAATTATTTCCTCCTTTGCATTTTGTAAATAATCATCACAATAAAGAAAATAATTAGAAATCATGACATCCTTAGTAGTAGTAATTGCTAAAAAAAAGGGTCGACAGCGAAATCAAGCGAATCGAACTCCTCAAATGCATGTTTCATTTCGAGATTTGGTTGTGATACATTATATCGTATAAATAATATTGGATTTAAAAACTATGAAGAAATCAATAGCAATATATGCCAAAAATTAGGTAGAATGATTGCCTTAAAAAGTAAATACTCAAATGCACGATTCAAATTTTCCATATTGTTTGAAATATATTGAGATATTTAAAAACCACTTTAAAAAAAAACAATATCAATAACTGCCTAAAAACAATCGAAGCATTACATTGATTTACGGCATGAATTTAGCTCGTCAAAAAGTGATTAACTAAATCCATGATTCAAATATAAGGTGTAAATTTCTGTAGAAAAGAAAAGTAATTTTTTTTTTTTTTAAGCTTTTCAAAAGAAAAATTGTTGTGCAAGAGTTCTGTGACAATGTCAAGGTGTCACTAGGGAGGGGGAGGGGGGGGTAAGAAAAAGCATCTGTGTTCATTTTTTATATTCTTGTAATAGTTTATTCTTTACACAAAATGTTTCAATTCAGTTTTCAGTCAACTGAAATATAACTTGCATTTTACTAAGGGTTGCAAAAAACCCGGGTTTTTCTAGAAAAACCTAACCCGAGTGGGTTTCATTGGGGTTTTTTTCTTTTTTTTTTTTTTCAAATGAGAGGGCAATGATAAGTACCTTATTTTAAAAAAGCTTATATTAATAATAATAATTAAGTTTAATTTTATGAATTGACTTAACATATGAGTAAGTAATTAAAGTGTAATTAATAATTGATACAAATATATTGGAGCAAAAGTCTGTCAAAAAGTTTCTTCTGACATCACGATACAAAATGTTATATGTACTCACATACATCACACATTTGAAACCTAATTTAACACAGGATTACTTTTTATTTATATTTTAATCTTAAAAAAATATCTGAGGAATTATTTTATTTTTTTTCTTCATAGAAAACGAATCAAAGGCATTGACTAGTCAATGGCCATACAGTCAAATCTGGCCAGCAAGGTGACTCTCCAGTCTCCAAACACAGTTTTTTCACCATAGGTTCATTTTTTTAGGCTAAACTACATATATCTTTCATTAGAATAGCTCTTTAATATAACAGAAGACAAAAAATTAATCAATTTTAGAAAAACTCACCCTAGAGTGGGTTTTTTGCAACCCTGATTTTACCTCTTTCATTAAATAAAATTGCAATTTCAGCATTTTTAAATTTTAATGAGACCCTATTTAGAATTTATTATTTTGCTTACATTGCTTTATAAAGAAATGTTTTTCAGAAATCAGAATCCTCTCATTCAGACAACAAAGGTGCAAAAGAGTTGAATGAAAAAAGTGAACTTATATTTGAAATTAAAACTATTTGCAATATAGACTCTTTAGTACAAAACTGTAAGTTTTTTGAAAACAAATCCTCCTTTACATTTTCTGACCCTAAACAGCCTGATTTTCCTATGGACACAAATACTGCACATCTCTGTTTTCATTCTGAATCATTCATGAATGAAAATAATTTTGAAAGAGATATTCCTCATTCTCCCACGAATGAAGAAAAGAATGCGCCAAAACAAATGCAAGAAAGTTTTGAACAACCTGAAAATTATTTTGTGCCTGATAGGACAGACAAGACAACCCCTATTTTAGAAAATGAAATTAAACTCCCATCAGAAAATGAAGAAAGTTCTGCACATCATGAGTATCAACAATGTACTGATTCAAGTGAAGTGCTGGATGACACTAAGAGGTCCAGTCGAAGAAGTAAGTTTTTTTTATTGTTTACAGGGGTTTGTCCAGGGCAACTTTACCACCCATGGTGCGTAGTATTTTTAAAAAGTGCTTCTTTTTAATTTTTGTTTTTTAAAAGTCCTTAAAGGTGCTTTTCTCATTAGGTGTTTTTAAAAAGTGCTTAGTTTTCCCTTTTTGAAAATGTGATTTTTTTTTCTTCGCAGTGTCGATTTTCGCAATGTATGATGCAAATCGACTTTCGTGCTTTCCACATTGTTCTCTTCAACGTTTTCACAATTCATTCAACCACCATCCATTTTGACCTACCGTCGATCCATAGCGTATAAAAGCGCTAATCATTTTACATGTTTGATTAAATAAATACTTGCGCGTCCAGGTGTGGATTTTCTGAGCAGCAGTCGGTGATATTTTAGCACTATTATGTGCAACTCTGCTGCATTTTGCAAGATATTCTCAATTTCATTTTCCACCCGCTGATATCGAACCGAAAAATCTTTCGATCTTTTTATGGCGTCCAGGTGTGGATTTTCTGAGCAGCAGTCGGTGATATTTTAGCACTATTATGTGCAACTCTGCTGCATTTTGCAAGATATTCTCAATTTCATTTTCCACCCACTGATATCGAACCGAAAACAGAAACTAGGTATTTTATCATGATCATGTAAAGTGTTTGAAAATTATGTTGCATTTTGTTAATGTATATAGCGCTTAAAAATATTTTTTGAGTGCTTTGAAAGTACATAGAATGTGCTATTTTTTGTTGAAAGATTTGACTACGCACTTTGCTACCGTTTAGCAGTACTTTTACGAATTCTTGAGGAAAAACTGTAGTTTCACAAAATACTTTTAAAAAAGCCTAAAATTCTCCCACCCCCTTTCTTTTAAAATTTTATTGTTTTATTCCTGTAAAAACAATAAACCTGGAGTTAATTTTGCATTCCGATTTGCAATAGATTCCACCCATGCGAGGAATAGGTTTCATATGTTTGGTCAGATAATGCAATGTGGTAAGCTTAACCGGTCGCTTGCACCTTATTATAGCTAGCTTTTTTTTTCGTCGAGTTTTTTTAAAATGAAATATTGTGGCTCTCCTTCTGTAAAGTTCACAGAAAGTCAAAATTCAAACTATTATTTTAAACATTATTCTAAATTTCTTCTAATAAACCTTTATTTTTTTTACCTATGTGAAACTTTTTTCTGTATGGCCCTGTCGAAAATGTTCTCATAATGAAAATAACTTTTAGTGCCTAGTACTGTTAAATGTATGTTTCTATTAAATTCTAGTTGAAATTTAACTATGGACAATGATTTTTATGGATTTTTAATTTTGGATACAGCTTTAAGCTCAAAATTTTACAATAACAAAATTGTTTTTTAACATATGGGGAAAATATATATCGAAATTTACCAGTCATAAATAATTTTTATTTGTAGTGGCAATTTTTGAAAATGTTTTCTTATTTTACCATATTTTTGTGTTGATTTGTTAACATAATTTTTAATTTTCACAAATTATATCTAAATTTTCCCAAAATAGGTACCACTTAAAAAATCCTAGACAGACTCCTGTCTTAGGTTTTTAAAAATTCTTTATTTTGCAAATATATATATATATATATAAGNATTTGAAAAAATTATTTTTGGCTTGATTTTAAATTCTAAACTTACATCATGATTTAAATAAGCTGATTTTTTTAATCAAATGTTTGTTTTTTAAATAAATCATTGATTTAAAAGCTTACTAATTATTATAATATGAGATTTTTAATTTTTTAAGAATTTTCGCATAGTTTTAGACTATTTTATAAATTTATTGCTGTATATAACTATATACTTCAATGCTTTAGTTTTTGTAATTGTACTTGGTATCTACCAATTATATTGTATTATTACAATTATAGGGGATATTTCCATATCGTAATCTGTTGCACCAACATTAAAACATTTAGATTCTAATTATCATTATAGTTTAATTGCGTTTTACTTTTCATTCTTTGTTTAATACTGACAACAACTTTTAATGTCAAAACATATTTTATTCTTTGTTTAATATGGTATTGATGTTTTTATATGTTGGAAGCATAATAAATAAAAATTGTCTCCTTTTGTGTTTTCCTTTAGACAGTAAAAGAAAGAAAGATTTTGATGGATGTTGTCCCATTTGTGGTGTAACGGTTCGATTAAATGATTTGGAATCCCACTACAATCAAGAAGTCGAGAGATTATCCAAAATTTCACGGTAATTCATCTCAATTTTAATATACCTGAACAAACTTTATTACTATTTCATGATGCTTTTAATTCATTAACTGTGATAGTATAGTTTTCTATTTCACTCATTCAATGTTTATTTCCTAGGACGTGATGCGTAGCATTTTCAAAAAGTGCATAAAGGTGCTTTTTTTTATTAGGTGTTTTTAAAAATTCTTAATTTTCCCTTTTCGAAAATCAGATTTTTTTCTTTCTTTACCGTGTCGATTTTGTCATGCAAAAGCGTGCAGAATCATGCATTGCTATGTGTCATGCAAAAGCGTAGTTTTCACATTGTCCTCTTCAGCCTTTTCACAGTTCATTCAACCACAATCTATTCTGGCGTACCGTCTTTCGTTATTGCTTGAAATTGCCAATCATTTTACATGTTTAATGAAATGCATGTGAGTCTGCATGTGCGTCTACTAAACTGGGTTCGGTGAGATTATTGCACTCTCATGTGAAACTCTATCGCATTTTGCAATATATGCTCAATTTCAGGCATCATTTTCCACCCTCTGATATTGAACCAAAAATCTCACAATCATTTTATAATGGCTAATATTATCAAGAAAAGAGTTCTTTGTCAGAAACTAGTTATTTTATCATGATCATGTAATGTCTTTGAAAATTATTTTGTATTTTGTTAATGTATAAAGTACTTAAAAATATTTTATGTGTGCTTAAAAGGTGCTTATTTTTTGTTGAAAGATTTGGCTGTCCACCCTGTAGCAGCATTACTTACATTTCCTTTAGTTTTTAAAATTTTACGTTTCGAAATACAATTTCACCATTCGGGCGATTATCATATTTGGTCATTTCTATGTATGGCAGACATCATCAGGTAACTTTTTTCCCTAGTTTTTAATATTAAGAAACCTTCACAAATTTTTCTGTGTAGTTACTTATTTACTTGTGAATTTAAAATAATGCAAACCATTCGCTTTCGGTTAAAAGCATTTCAATTGAAAAATAAAAATATGCTGCAACAGATATGGCAGAAAAATGGACATGAATTTAGAATGGTTGAGATGATGCATAATTATGTATCAAAAATTTTAGTTTTAACAACAACAAAAAAAAGAACCTTTTCCATAACAAATTTACTAGACTACACTATCACACATTAGATGACTCGTATGAGATTATAAACTGTTGTGGCTATTTTTTTTTTTTTACTATGAATGAAATTATTGAAAAGGTTTTTAAAAAAGTTGCAAAATAGATATTTTACAAACGAAGAACCACGTGTCTCAGTACTATTTAGACAGAAATTTATGATTATTATAGAAATTTTTATATAAAAATCAGTGTTCTAGGCATTTAATTCTTTTGCCTGTTAACTTACCAATATATTTGCATAAAATTAAATCATTTTGAATATTAGATTTTGTGTCTGCCTTTCATAGGATTGAACATTTGCAAATTTTTAAAGGAAGAAAAATAACTCAGTTAAAAAAAACAAGCAGTTCTAATAATTTTTTTAAAATAACTTTTGGTGTCATTTACACTTACTTCAATATTTTGTAACTCACCCTTTTTTTAAAAAATTTGAAATTAAAAACCGGGTGTTAATTTTTTTTTTTTTTAGAAAAAGGAGTTATATAACAAGTTAGTATAAGGCAGTATCAGAAGTTTAATCTTGGTACTTTTTATGTATAATTTATTCAATTTGAAAAAAAAAAAATATTGTTACACTTTCATTGAGTATGAGATGACATGCAATTTATAAACCAATATGCTGTCAAAGGCGGCTTTTTGTTAAATGGGTTGAAAAATAACAAATGATACACTATACTTGGGAGATTTTATGGCAATTCATTCCTATTTTAACTTTAAACCTCAAGAAAGAAGGGCGAGCATCTGTTAAATAAAACTCTTAAGAGATAAGTAAAATCTATTTTACTTTGCAGAAAAATTATAAATAATTGTTGTTAAAGTAAAGAATAAGTTATAAATTCATTAAAAAAATTAAAATAACTATAATTTTAAAATAAATTGGAATTTCAAAAAAAGAATTCTTGTTACATTCATAAATAAAAGTAGTCCTTTCAGCATGTCAAATTTTAACTTGGTAGCATCCCTGTCATCTGCATAGTATTTGTTACTACCATTTTAATGGTTACTAATTCTCATACTGATTATTGAATTTAAAAATATTTTTATTTTATGGTTATCCTCTGTAAATTATTCTTATACCATCTTCATGTTTGTAAGTTTCTAACTTTTATACAAGATGCATGCATTTTTATAAAGTGCTTATATTTCCGTTATTTGAAAGCCCTTAAAGGTGCTTTTTCATTGGGTGTTTTTCAAGAGTGCTTAATTTTCCCTTTTCAAAAATTAGATTTTTTTCTTTACCATGTTGATTTTTGCTATGTATTATGCAAAAGTGTGCTTTTCACATTGTTATATTCAATGTTTTCACGGTTCATTCAAGGAAAATCTATTTCAGCATACCATCGGCCCATAGCGTATGAAAGGGCAAATCATTTTACATGTTTGATGAAATACTTGAGACCTGTGTGTACATATATACTGAGATGGGTTATGTGAGATTCTTGCACTCTCATGTGCTACTCTGCTGCATTTTGCGACATATTCTCAATTTCCGACTTCATTTTCCGCCCTCCGATATTGAACTGAAAAATCTCTTGATCATTTTATAATGGCTAATATAATCAAGAAGAGCTCTTTGTCAGAAACTAGTTATTTTATCATGATCATGTAAGGTCTTGAAAATTAGTTTGCATTTTGTTAATGCATATTGTGCATTAAAATATTTTTGAGTGCTTAAAAAGTACTAATTTTTTGTTAAAGATTTGGCTACCCACCCTGTTATAGTTTTTCCACTGCAGAATGAAATGCAACGTGAAGATGAACACACATAAAATTACTCTTTTGATTTTTTAATCAGAAATATTTCCAATCAGCGACCATATTCTTCCAGTCTTCTGGAAGAAATTGGTCGCTTTGGTTCCTCCTTCCAGAACTGAGAAGGAATACCAACCCTGCTTTGAATAAAAAATAATTATTTTGTGAATAATAAAATGAACAAATCCTCTTGTTTTCTGTTTCTTATTTTGGTTTTAATGTAATTATTTCTTTGCAGTTGTTCTAAAAAAATGCACCTTGAAGATGTTCCTAAAAATGAAGTAAGTACCTCTTTTCGCAAAAGAAATATGCAATTGTTGTAACGCTTAAAATATTTATGTAAATCAGATATAAAAGAAATGTATGTAATCATAGATATTGTGTTTGAATTTATAAAAATTATAAATTCACTGAAATTTTTCCCCCCTTAGTCATTTAAAGATAACAATATGATTTCTTATGAAATTTGTAGCATTAAAATGCTTGAGAGGTACAATTGCTAAAATATTACATAGCTACCAAACACTAGTGAATTATTCTGTTACTACTTGATTTTTCCAGTTTCTCCTGGTCTACTAGTTTAATTGAAATTCTCCTGGTTTTTCTATTGAGTAAGTTTCCTAAAAAAATCACTATTGAAATAGAATTTTTGTACTAATTATTACTTGCTTGCTTGAATATTTAAATGAGTATTACTAATACATAATGAAACATTTATAGAAATCAGTTCAAAACTTGTTGTTCTAAAATGTTCAGTTTGTTTTTATTAAGAACTCTTTATTTTAAATTGATTTAAAATCTTTTAACTATCTTTGATGAGTTAAATACCTATTAATATTCGAAATTATGAGTAAACATAATATTTAACATTTCAAGTTTATTTAATGTCAATCATAACTGGAATATAATTTTTTTTTTAATGGCGGGAACTTGGGGTTTAAAAAAAGTTCCCGCAGCCTTGAAAAAACATTGAAAAGTACTTGAATTTCATTTTGATTTTCAAGGGCCCCTAGCAGTACTTGAAAATGATATTAAATCCTTGAAGAATTCAAAATGACCTTGAAAAGTATCGAAAACTCAGGAAAACAACCCTATTTCCAGCATTTCTGTGTTTAACTTTTTGACGCACGTAGTGTGAGAGAATGACTTTCCCGCCTTTCGGATAATGACACGTACTGTTTGATATTAGGATTTTATGTATGTTTGGCTGATTTTAGGAATTTTAAATATTTTGAACTGCACCAGATTCTGACAAAATCTCGATTCTTATTCAGGCAATTTTAATATCGATCTTCGTATTACACTGATTTAAAAGCTATGTGTTGCGATTCGTTTTCGCGTGATTCAAAAATTGTACTTGCAATTCCCATTAAAGCAATTTAAAAATCTAATGTCGCGATTTGTACTTAAGCGTTTTTAAACCCCAATATCGCGATAATTTTTCCCGCAAGTTTAAAATCCAATGTCACGCAATTCACGCATTTTGCAATATCAAACTTCGATGTTGTAATATCAAACATCGAGTTTCGTATTTATACTATATTTGAAAACTACTCATTACGATTCGTGTTCATGTGACCATGTCAAGTGCGTATGATCGATGCTACTGAAAGAAAAATTAATTCAAGCATGAGTGGTTAATTAAAGCAGTCAAAGTGACCAAAATTGTTAGTAAGAATCTATCAGAAGATATTGAGGTGAAAGCTGGCAACTGATTCAATTTAAAATGGTTGACCCGTAATAAATTTAAAATGATAATTAAGCCGCAACATCCAATAATTGATTAATTTTCTTAAATAGAAAAGTGGTCAAAATTTCAAAATTATATTTAAGAACAATTTAAATTTCACTGTCTAAATGCTTCTGCCACTTTAAATATTAAATAAAAGTCTCCCGGCAGAGTTGTTTTTAAATATCTAATTGATATCACAATATTATATAGAACATTCCCCCCGTCCTGCCCGAATTTTTGCTTATTCAGAGGTTGTATACCTAACTTAAAATAGGCCTTGTGCAAAATTCAAATCTGACGTTTTTATGAATCATGAATTTTATTCTTGACTTGATGCCAATCACATTATCGTCAAAACATTTTAGTTTAAAATGTAAAATTTTAGTCTATCTTTTACTAAAATTTAAGTCCTTGAGAATTTTATAATAAGTCTTAAAAAGTCCTTGAATTTTATTTCCAAAGTAGAGCATGAACCCTGTATCCCATTGGCCACAGAAATGCTAGAACTGCTACTCTCTTCTCGTTATCGAGTGGGCACCTGTGGCGAAGCCACGGCGGTGGAGCAGTGTCACCCACGTCACACAACCACAAACCCGTTTATAGGGCGGGTCATATTCACACAAAGAGGAAAGGACATAGAACACAGAGAGAAACATCCATGCCCTGAACAGGATTCGAACCCGCAGTCAGACACACTAACCACTTAGCCACCTGGTCGGCACTTGAAAATATTAGTTTTTTCTATTTTGATGACTGTAAAATTCCCTAGGTGTAAAGTTTTTAGTACATTATGCAACAATTATCATGAAGTTTATATTATTTCGTAAAATCTACTAAATTTTTTGCTATCCATGCTACAAAGTAGTTTACTGAATAATATCAAGTAGTTTACTGAATAATCCAGTAGTGTTTGGCAACTATGTAATATTTTAGCAATTGTACAATATTATATCCAGCTATGCATATGAAAGAAATGTAATCATAGATATTGTGTTTGAATTTATCAAAGCTAGAGAGCCAAAAAATTCACTGTAATTTTTTTTAAAGTCATATGACGATAATATAATTTCTTATAAATTTAGATTATCCTTACAAATAAATACAATTGCTAAAATAATGTGTTTTACCTCTGCTAGAATTACAGAAATTCTTTCTTGAGTGTTTCTTATAAACTCTAATTTATATTATATGTTTTTAGGCCTTTGACCTGGTCAGGAAAAATAGAGAGCAACGCTTAACTGGTATTTATTAATTTCTACTTTTACAATATTTATTTTATGACTTCTTTTACTAAAGCATGGTATTCATATTCTATTGATTATAATAGCTATCTCATCCGGTGTACAAAATATTTCAGTATTAAGATTTAACAAACCAGTGTTTTCATGCTTGAAGTTTTTTTGCTTGTAAAATATGTATGTGTTACTGTGAATGACCAAAATTGTTGGTTGTAGACCAATGAATGGTGAAAATCACATAGTTGCTTTGGTAAATTTCCAAAATATATACCAGGCAGAATCGCAGCGACATTGTCGCTGAACGTTGTTGAGTTCTTGCAGAAGGAATTTTATTTTTAGAAAACGTAAAATTTTATTTTCCTTTTCTGCAAAAATTTTTGAAATTTTTTTTCTCTAAAATTATATTTAAAAAATGCCTTTTTCATGTATCATAGGAGAAATAAATTTTCGTAATTTTTCTATTCTTATTTTGAGAAGAATGTAAAATAAAGAATATTGAAGTAAAAAACTTCTTTACTGCGGAAATGTTTGAAAAAATCTTTCTCTCCATAATTATATTCAAAAGATTTATTTTTCACGTTTCAGAGGGGAAGAAATACTATTGATTTTTATTATTCGTATTTGGGACGAGTATAAATGAAAAAAAAATTGGTTTTCTTTCACAGATTTAACTATTTGTAACTTCTGTTTTATGTGATTAGGATTTAAGAAATGCGAAAACAAAAACCGTTTAATGTGTTTTCCTCTTGCGAAAATTGAGAACATCGCCCATGATATTAGAATAAAAAATATTACATCGTCATTTTAAAAAAAAATACACAATTTTTTTTTTATTTAAATAGTTTTTTTGTTGTTGTTGTAAATGTGTTTCTGTTACTTTAAATTTAATTAATAACGTGTATATTAGTTATTATTAAGAGTACCTTGCAGAAAGAGAGGTTTGTCACAGAAAGCCAAAAAAATTTCTGCCACAGGGGGTCTAGTTAAATGGCACTGCCCAAAGTAGTACCCTATAATGATGTTTTCTTAAGTGCCACTGCCTCGTATGCATTTAACCAGTACTTAAAACACTGATGTTTCTCCTAATCTATCCTCAGTGGATATTGAAAAATCAAATAAATATAATAATATCAATGAATAAATTAATGTCAAATCGGATATAACAAATATTTCAGGCATTCACTAAAGCGATTGTCAACATTCTGCGGCGGAAGTCGACATTCTCTTGATTTTGGTCATTCACGGATACATTTGTGTAATAAATGTTGTGTTCAAATATATTTAGATAAATACTATACATCATGAGTCTGCTAAAGTTAAAATTTCTATGAGCAAGGACTGATTTTTAGGTGCCAGCATATTATAGGATTAAAATGTAGCGTAACAGCATTTTGCTTTACTCTGAAATAATATATCAACAAGTATCTTTTAATTTTTTTTTTTTTTTTTAATTTACTGTTATCTAAAATATGTTAATTGGTCAAAAATATGGTAATCAAAAATTTGGTGTAGAATTTTAATGTGCAGTTGAAATCACACAACATATGTACAAATTAATGCCAAAATTGAACAGATTTTCCTGGTTCAAAGTTAATATTTAGAGAATAATTTAATATTTAAAGATAGTGTCATCAGGCATTAAAGGATGATTCTTCAATAAGTGTGGCACATATAACCTTTCCTCATTGGCTGTGATAACAGTTGTCATAAGTTTAGAATGGGTTTGTGGCACTACCAACCAACTTAAAAATGAAGGAAGAAATCTTCTCCACAGTTAAAATAGAGGATAAAGTTACAGTGGGGTGTGCTTTATTGTTTTAGATCTACTTTTGAGAATCCAAATTTCGTTCATTTGCCTTCCATTTTTTTTTAGTCTGTTGTACTTTTGCTAATTTTTTTGTGTAGATGAATTTTTTTAAAGATTTAGGTCCTTTATTATATTTTGATTTTAATGTATAGAATTTTTAATTATACGTAAATAATATAAGTAGAAAAACATTTTCAAAAGTAAAATATTTTTAAATTGAAATGAATATCAAAGTAAACTGTTAAATAAACGAAATCAATAAATATTATTTTTAGTATTTCTTTTCTTGTTAAAAAAAAGTACGTGAATTTTAAATATGTAGGTTGTATATTTCCGAGGAAAAATGCATTAATTTTATATCTATCTATCTATAAGTGGAGATTAAAACACCTAAAATCCTCAACCATGATAAGCTATATATTGGCGATGAAGTTTCATAGGAAAAACTTGATAAAATGGTTATTAAGTAATATGTGTGTGTGCATGTGTTATTTTATTTTATTTCTTTTACTCTTATATAATCATGATTTCTTGTGATTATTTTAGTGTTTTTTTTTCCCCTCATGCAATAGTATAATTTGACTCTTGAGTTTCAGTTTCTATAAAGTCTCTAAATAATATTGTGAACGTTAAAACTTGTAAAACTGTTTTACTTCAATAACTCTATACGTGAAGAAAAATTTTTTTGTTTTTGTTTTCCTCAAAAAATTTTACCTTTTTATTTGTGCTTTTTTTTTCATTTTTAGTTAAAAGCATGAAATACAAAATACAATAAAAAGAGATAAAAATTTAATTTGCTGTAATTTTCTATAATAAGCAATGAGCTTACGTTTTGTGTTTTCTTGTATCCGTGAAAACTTAAATCCCTTCTATTATAGATTTGACTCATTGTAAAACCATGACATTTTATGAAATTTTAAATTCCTTTTAAAGTAATAATGTGGTTATGATAGGAGTGATGATCAGTTCAATTTAGTGGTTAGTTCAGGTAGCATCATTTAGGGGTCTGTTTAGAGGAAATTTGATCCATTGACGGACCCTTCACAAAATATATTTCTATAAAAACGGACCCTCCACAAAATAATTTATCTTTTAATCAGACCCCTCACAAATTTGTTTATCTTCATTATTGTTTTGTTAATCGAATAAACCTTTCCCGCAAAAACAAAGAAAGGCAGTTCGAAACGAACTAAGTTTCCCTAAGTTTAAATTCCAAATGTAGTATTCAAAGAAAATATTTCTACTATTTCAAACATTGTGTGCACTTTCTTATTAAATGATATTTTTTTTGTTAATATATAATTGATCTATTTATATTTATTCATAAAATTAATTAATAGAATCTTATGTAATTAAAAATTAATTTCTGGCAATTTTATTTTAAGAATAATCAGAATAAGAATATAAATTTAAGGATTGTTTAAGTTTACTTAATGCGTAACACATTAAAAGTGATACATAACTAAGTTGTGTTATTTAAAATATTTGTCAATTGAAAATATTAAAAATGTGAGTGATTTTGTTTTTATTATTTGTCCAAAATGAATATTCTGTGTTGGCCAAATACCAAATATTTGTATGTTGCATCTCGAATTTAGTAGCAGCAATTGTTGAGCAGAATCTTGTATCTATTTACAATTTAAAAACTTCTCGAAAAGGTTTTTGGCAATTTTTGCAATAACAGGACCCTATTTGCACAAATTCACAACAGCAGGACGCTGGTTGAAAGAATGTGACTTAACACTTATTTTATATTCACAAATTATGAGTAGTTTTTTCACAATTTTACAAAAACAGGACCTTTCACAAAATATCTGGACAGACCCCTGATAATAACCATGATTTCTTGTGACTATTTTAGTGGTTTTTTTCCTCGTGCAATAGTATAATTTGACGCTGAGTTTCAGTTTCTATAAAGTCTTATAAATAATATTGTGAACGTTAAAACTTACAGCTCTTTTACATGAATAACTATTACATGAACATTATTGAACTGTTTATTTTATGATTATACCTGGAAAAAAATTTTCGTTTTCCTCTGAGAATTTCACCTTTTAATTTGTGCTTTATTTTTCATTTTTAGTTAAAAACATGAAATGCAAAATACAATAAAAGGAGATAAAAATTTAGTTTGCTGTAATTTTCTGTAATGAACAATGAGCTTACATTTTGTGTTTTCTAGTATAACTTAAATCCCTTCTATTATAGCTTTGACTTATCGTAGAGCCATGATATTTTATAAAATTTTAAATTCCTCTTTAAGTAAGCATGTGGTTATGATAGGAGTGATGGTCAGTTCAATTTAGTGGATAGTTCAGGTGGCTTCATTGTAGTTTTTAGCATATTTTTGGCCGTTTCAGATGCATCTTAATTTTGGATATGATTTAGGAAAAATTTTATTTATTAAGTAAATATTAAATAGAATATTGTGGCGCTTGTGGGCCGTACCATATAGTTATTATAATTAAATTAAATAAAGGAAAATTTACTCGTCTCTTAAATTTAAACAGATAATATTTTATTTACAATGAAACCAACTTAGCATTATAACGTTAGTGCTTAATATGTTTTTAGAGTAGGTGGAGAGAGAGACTTACTAAGTTTATATATGGTTTAATTTTGGTATCTGTCTAGAGCAGTGATTCTCAACCTTTTTTTTGTTGCGGCACACTTTTAACGATTTAGAAATTTGACGGCACACAGTGAAAACAATTAGATTAAAAGTTGTTAACTTACGTATAATACACTGTGTTAAATAGATTGCGATCATAATTTTGATTGTGAAATAAAATAATATGTACTACAAAAGCACGTTTATTAAGGGAATAGTTATTTCTTTCAACTAATCTCTTATTAGTTAGTAACAGTTATTATTTTATTTTTTTGCGAGTTATTAATTGTTAGCTTGTTTTCTATAGCTATTAACTGTTATTTTTTTACATTAACTGTTATTTTCTTGTGATTTCTTGTTAACTAGTCTTGTTGCTAATTATTAATTGTTAGCTTATTTTTTTGTTAGTTATCCTTTGTCAATTTGTTTTCTATATATTTGTTTTTTAGTTATCCGTTGATAATTTGTTTAATAATTGCATAGCTTACTTTAATGATCAGCTTTTATTTCCGTTTGAAAGTTAATATTTAGCTTGCTTTCCTTTGTTAATTAATAATTNTTAATTTTCCCTTTTCTAAAATGAGA